GGTAAAATAGAGTTATACATATTAACATGAATAATACTAGCTGAGTTTTTTTAAAAATACAACACATAAAGATTATTGTGGACACATACAAGGTGTTCATGAACAGTAATCACAGCAAAATGGTTGCCTGCAGAAGGCAAGATGGGAAACACGGGCTGATGTAAAAGTTATTTCTTCTTTTTTGGGTTTTGCTATAGGGCGTATGTGCCTGCCAGAGAGACAGTGAGAGGGAACGTGAGAAATCCTCCTTTGCCTCCTGGGTGGAATGGCCACATTCCACCTTTATTCTCCTCCTAGGATTTGGGGCATGCATGCACATATGCCTGGTGTGATTTTCAAGCTGCCGTGTCTGGGACTTGAACTATGGTCAGCCATGTGGGAGTCTGGCACCTTAAACATCACACCACCTGCTGACCCAACAAATAGTTACTTGTTTTTACAAAAAAAGAAAGAAAAAAGGAAAAGACCTGAGGAAAATATATGGCAAAATTTCAACTGTTTATCCTCCGTGGCGGGTACATAGGAGGTTATCATTTTCTTTACTCTTCCCTATCTCCATAAAAAAATGTTTTTAACTAAAAGTCTCACAAGTGTTGGAAGAGTTGGGAAGTGGTAAAGGGTAAGAGGAAGGAAATCAAGGGGAAAAAGAAAGAAGCAAGACATTGAAGGGACACAAAAATGGAAAATTATCGGTCGATGATAACATGAACGAGAATATCTTTGACTGGACTTATATATAGTGTATGTAAGTCATGCTGGGAAAATTCATTTTGCAAGCTGTAATGATATACAGTGCATGAATGTATAAAAATAAAAGTATCAATTAAAAAAAAAAGAAGCAGCAGCTCCAGGCATTACTAGAGATCATAAAAGTTCTGATTTAATGTACTAGTCTAGTACATTATTAGGCTAAAAATTCTCTATAGAATGATTACACCACTGTGATTAGCTCATTGTAATTACCATCATAGTCTAGGAGCCATTGAATTCATTTTTTAATTAAAACTATTTCAAAATGTATTCTCTAAATATTTGGACAACATACATGAGAAATAAGGATTAAATAAACAAAAAGTCAACTCAAAAAATATCTAAATAAGGTCATCACCATAATAACAAAAAAGGGCTTAGTCACTGGTTTGTCTGAAATCTCTCAGGTCCCACAGAATGGCCATGAACAGCAGCAGTAACTTGAAAATGGCCAAAGCCCACTTGATGGCACAAAGGTGATGAGCTGCTCAAGCTTTGCCAGATCCATATGGAAGATCATGGGTTCAGTTTCTGGCTGACTGAACATGCCAGGCGTGTGCACCCACGATCCTGGTTGGTTGAGAAGGCTGGGGAGACCACGGCGTGAGACAATGTTGAAGATGCTTGTCTCTCTCTCTCTGTCCACTCCCATGAAAGAAATAAACTTCAAAACAGTAAATAAGGCAAAGTGCATGAGACTTCTCTCAGACAAAGAATTTTTTCCAACGGCAGAGTGGCTCTATTATAATATATAATAAAATTGCTCAAAACTCTAATTTTCAATCCTGGTTGTACATTAGGTTCACCTGGCTAGCTTTTTTTTTTTTTTTTTCATTTTTCATTCCTGTTGATTTATTTGATCCCTAAGTTTTGAATTTTCTCGTCACGACACTGAATACCTAGACTCTTTTTTTTTTTTTTAATTTGTTTTTATTTTTTAACATTAATATGCTATACATCATTACAGTATACAAAATGAAGTTTTCATCCAAAATACATTGTCTGTTGGCTCAATCAAGTACATCAACATATGTGTTATCAACAATTTTCCATTTCTTTTTTTTTTTTCCATCCAGAGTACACTGTATATTGTCTCAATCAAGCATATCAACAAACATGTTATTATTAGCAAGTGATCTTCCATTTCTTGTTTTCTGTATGTTTTGCTTTTTTTCCCCCTATCCTTGGTTCCCTCTCTCTTACCCTCTGCCACCTCCTGTTCTCCTCCCACACTATCTCTGTTATCTATGTTTGCTTTCTATACCATTTTCCCCCCACATTTTATTGAATCACCAAAGACCCTCATCAATCCAAATACCCTCCTAGCAAACACATGTGACACATTTCCATGAGCACAAGTCTAACTTTACGCATCCTATCAAGTAGCACCTAACTGGGGCTACATATCCTACTGCAGTCATTGAATAGATATATTTTGTTTTCCTGAAACTCTTTTTTGTAACTCAATTTACATTCCTTCTCTAGGCATCATCACAGCACACAAAATGCGATCTCCCATCCAGTACACACTGCATAGTGACTCAATCATGCACATTACAAAAAATATAAATTTCCACTTCTAGTTGCTAGAATTAATTCCACCCCTCTTTCTGACCCTCTGTCCCTTCCCACCCTCCTCTCACACCACCTCTAGTGTCCAAAATTGTCCTCCATTCCCTTCCCACCCACATTGCATTGATCACACAATTTCCTACATAACCTGACTACTTTCAAAGGTGAGTTCCCTCGTTACTACTAAGAAAACCAGTTTTAACTTAAATCAAAGAACCGCCAAGGAACTTTGCTTAAAGCCCGGAAACAGGTTAGGATTCTGTTCAAATGGTAGGTGCATGAACCTATCAGTCTCATATACTTTTATCTTCTGTTCTGGTTCAATTTTCCTGATTAAATTCTGGGATATAGTATTCAACTCCAGACTTGTCCCTATGATTAAGTTAGCTACTTTCTCAGTTTTTGGACTCTTATTTCCATGTATCTGCGTTTAGTTTTCCTGATACAGCACATCCTTGAGAACTTCTTGGAGGTCTGGTCTGGTGCTGGTAAATTCTTTCAGGTTTTGTTTATCTGAGAATGTTCTTGTCTTTTCTTCCCACCTGAAA